CTTCTGTGTCTCAGTGAGCACCTTTACACAGACAGACACACACACACACACATGCTTATGTATGTATATATTTTGTAATGACCCGTCAAAACACAGACTGAGAAAACTGCTGATTTCTGAAGTTCTGCCGATGGAATGGATGCCTTGCTGAGATTCCCGCATTCTGCTGTGTTTTCTAAGTCTGTCTGTGTGTGCGTGCTTCTGACCTGCGTGCCTGTCTGAGTGCTTGTCGGTATGAGTGTGTGTGTGACCTGCAAGGGCACTTGCTTGTTTTGCGGGCCCGTAGGGCCGGTACATACCTGTGGCCGTGGCATTGAGGGTTGCAGCAGGGAAAACACTCGAGTAGCGGAGCCAGGGGCCCCCGGTGCTTAGAGCAGCGGAAAAACACTCGAGTAGCAGGTAGGCCGGCACCGCACCCAGTAGCGGTAGATGTGCCGGGTACTCGAGGCCGAGCAGAAGAAGGCAAAGTTGGCATTTTTAGAGGCCCAGTAGCGGTAGGCTAGGTCTAGGCCGGTACCAGTCCATCCAGTCTTAGTCTAGAGCCTGTACGGGCAATATCAGAGTCTGCAATGATGTTTCCCTCCGAAAGGGAGGAGGTACCGGTTGCTTGGGAGGCCGAGCGGCCTGGAAGTCACCGCCCAGGAGGCAAGCAGGCCGCTATATCAAGAGGCCGAGGCAAGAGCTCGGCCTCATTCTTCAGTGTGCAAGTTTGGCGACACGCTGCTGGAGCGCTGGCTGGAGTAGCGCCGTGTACTGCAGCGCTGCTGGGAGGAAGAAGCCGGGAGCTTCCACCTTGGCTATGGTGGAGCTCTACCGGTAGGAGGAGGAGGGAGAAGGGGACCAAGGAGGAGAGTGGTGGGGTACTTACCTGGCTATGGTAGACACCATCTTCATCACCTTGTTAGGCGCTGCATTTGGAAGGCCCCAGTGGGGATAGTGCCGCATCAAGGAAGCTCGGGGCAGAGTCAGGCATGGCGGTTGAGTGGGGCAGCGGTATAACTGCATGGTGTTGACCTTGGGACATAAGGGAGGCGACCTAGCTGCTTTGGGTTGTCCTTTGGACAGGAGGGAGAGCCCTCAGTGCTCTGCCATAGCCTCGGCTTGTATGTAGAGAAAGAGAACGGGTGGCCATGGCTATAGTGGACCTCATGTTGTGCCTGCAGTAGAAGTGGGATTCGTACATTGATTCTGGTTCAGTCATTCAACATTATTATTGTTATTCTTGTTTGAATAAGAGGGGATGAGATAAGGAGGAAGAGATTGGTTGGCGAAGAAGAAGAGCCTTATCATTGGTCTATGCTGGAGTACATCATCTTCTTCTTCTTTCTTACTTCTTCTTCTTCTTTCCCTCTCTCTCTCCTCTCAAGTTCATTCATTTCTTTTTGCAATTGGATGGCATTGTACTTTCAGATGAATGTATACTTCGAAATTGGCCAGGATCGTAACATTGGTATCGGAGCGACTCTACTTGCTGGCGAGAGTTGACTTTGCTGCCATAACCCTAACCCTAGTGGTAAGGGCTAACCACTTAGGGTTAGGGCGGAGGTTAGGGTTAAGTGGGACACCTGGCAGGGCCGTGTAGGGTCGACACTAGACTCGGCCAGGTTGTTTGAGTGCATGTTCGTGGTGGCGAGACACAAGGTGGGACTTCGTGATGCAACTTGAGAGAGGCAACAGTGAAGGGCACCTACAACTTGAATCTGGACTTCAAGGAATACGAGGAGTGACTTTAGGGCTCCCCTCAAGTTAGGCGAGCTTGAGGGTGGCAGCCATATCTGCACCTATGGACTGCAAGTTGCTGCTTTGATCTTCAACATCGACGGCGGATCCGGCTTTGTACTTTGGGGTAGATGTTGACCCTCCTAGACGATAGGACACTAGTGTAGAGGATGCTAATTGGGTCAGGAGGACTATGTGAGAGGGGGGTGAGTTCTTTCATCTCAAGAGCCCAACCACTCAGGTAAGTATCGTGCCGCCAGGGTGCCCATGTGTGTGTGCATGGAATTGATTGCCTGTTGGGGTTTTCTGGGTTCTTCGTCCATCCTCCATAGTCTTAATCTTGCGTGAAGTGTGTGAACTGCTTACTCGCTTGATGAGTGAATGGATGGAGTATCTTGTGTGCCATGCTATATCTTTCTACAGTGCTTTATCTATTTCATTATGAACGGTTGTAGTATGTAGGTTCTTTCTGGGGCAAAATTTCTTTTTTCAATTCGATAGGGACAAAGTAGGTCTTTGTGGAACTCTTGTTGGTTGGGACCCGGTTCTGACTCCACAGGGACCCTTTGGGACTCAGCGGGACCAGGCCCAAACAAGAAGGGCCCCTCAAGCCAAATTTGTTGACGTCAGTTACCTTGCTCTATCTGATTGGGACTCGGACTTTATGCTTTCGGACCAGGACACTCGCTGCGGAGGGGATCTCCGCTGAGACGTTTTATCGGACTTTACCGCACGATCCGCCGCCTGACTCGCACCTTGGGCACCACTCAATTCTCTCTTGCATTACGCTGTACACTTTGAATCTGATTTGTTGTGTCTTCACGGAGCTGAGTCCGGCTAGGCTTGAGAGGACCTCATACGTACTCGGTCCAGACTGTGTGGCTGGATCAGATCTCTCTGATCTTTATTTCTTTTTTGTTTTGACTGCTCTCCAGTCCAAATGAATTGCCGCTCCGACTAGGAGTTCTACCTTCTCTTCTGATTGTTTTCAAAGCTGTTTCTTTGACTTGGTTCGTTAAATGTCTGTGTCTACACGATCGCAAACAAGAGAGAGAGAGAGAGAGAGAGAAGAAAGAAGCTTCTGAGAGTTGCTCTTGAGGGAGTGAGGAGAGGGAAGAGAAGTGTTCGTCCCAGAAGTGTGAGGAAGTACGGAGCCCTCTTGAGAGACTTGCTAACACCCTCATCCTCCACTGTGGCATCTGCAGCAGAATGAAAGTTGCAAATGGACGCTGTCCCCGAGACAGAAAAAGCGCAGTACTGATTCTTCTATGAGAAAGCATTGAAGAGGGAAGAGGAAGAGAAGGAGAAGGAGAGGGAAGAAAAGGTGAAGACTCACGAAGCTGTCTTCAGTACTGTGCCTGCCTTAACTAATGAGCGGGTGGAAGAGAAAATCGTTTCACTCCTCAGGGCTTTGATAGACGTCCGGGCTGTTGAGGACCATACAGGCCAACTCACAAAGGATTTCGACGAACTCAAGAAGTTAAGCGAGGATATGGCCCTGATGGCGCAGCAGCACCGTGACCAGCTGCAACAGTTTGCTAACTTGCAGCCTGCCCAAAGTGTCGTTCCGCCTGCCTACCTTGCTTACTTCTAGTGCTGTGTGTCAGTCCTTCCTGCCCCTCTAAATGTGTCTTCTTCTACTTCTTCTTCCTTGAGTGTGACTAACAGCCTATCCGGATCTGCAACGGGTTCAAACCCCGTTGTTGCTGCTGTTGCTGCAGCGGCAAGTGGCAGTGCAGGGCATTCTGGAACTGTTGCAGTCCCGAGTTCGGACCCAGCAACTACTGGTCCAAGCTGCAGCTTTCCTTACATGGATAAAAAGGCGACACAAATTCCGTCTAAATACGACGGAAAAGACGACATTGAGTCTTGGATCAGCTCTACGCGATCCTACTTTTATGTGCTGGGAACACTCCCGGTTACTCAGTCGTCGGTCCTAGGGACCAATGTGGAACCCGCCGTAAGAGGATTCTTAGAAATCCAAGCTATGCAAACAGGCTATAAAAGAATAGACCTGAACAAGTGGCTGAAGGCTACGCCTGTAGCCGCACTCGAGGAACTCTTGATCAAACAGTATGCTGATCCACATGCTGCAGCCAAAGCTAGACTCAAGCTTGACAAGCTCAAGCTCAGCAAGTGGACCGGCACCATGCATAGCCTACAGCAGTATGTTAGTAAACTATTTGCTACTCCGGATTTGGAGATGACTGCGCAATCTTGCTTGGATGTGATAAAAGGCACGGTCCCCTCTACTATAACACATCGCCCAGGGCTCAGACTCATCGCGTATACAAATTGGCTTACCCTCATGCGGGACTTGGTCAAACTGGAGGCACAAGACCTCCCGGGTGGATCGGGTGGCAAAAAGACCACCAACCGCAAACGGTTTCCGGACAGCAACTGTTTTTCAGCGCACGATCTACTTGAGGATGACGAGGAGACCTTCGCAGACAATACTTCTCTTGATGACAATCAAGACCAAGGTTGCGAGGCATCTTGCTCTTCGTCAGCCCATGAGTCTGAGTGTGTGAATGACAAAGAATTTAGCGCACGGTCTACTTGAGGATGACGAGGAGATCTTCGCAGAGGATACTTCTCTTGATGAAAATCAAGAGCAAGGTTGCGAGGCATCTTGCTCTTCGTCAGCCCATGAGTCAGAGTGTGTGAATGACGAAGAATTTATGAATGCCTTAAAAAAAGACTGCTTTCAAAAGCAAGGGACCGAGGACCACGACGAAGAACAATACTAACACTATTCT